ACCCGCCCTGCTGCCAAGCTGGCTGCGGCAGGGGAAGGCAGCGCCAAGGCCGGGCCTGGCCAGGAGGATCCCTGATGCCAGGGACAGGCCTGCAGACTACGAGCAGGGGAGCCCATGCCCAGGGCCACCAGCAGGAGAAGGGCCCCTGCTGCCTGAGGGGGTCTGGGCCCCTCCACTGCCTCCCAATCCTCGCCCAGGAAACGGCGATTTTAATCATTGCGACATTTTAGTGGCGATTCACTACATGGTGTTTAATAAACAGCACTACCCTGGCCCTGGCCACAGCCTGCCCTGGGGTTCTGGCACCAGGCGGTTCATGGTTCTCTCCGGGAGCAGCAGGAGATGGGACTGCCTGGGCAGCCACGGCAGCTTCAGACTTGGCCAAAGGTCTCTTGCAGGGTGTTCCCCGCCCCCAAGACACAAAGGGAAGGAATACCCCGGCAGCACCTGCAGCATGACCCAGGCTGAGTGGGCAGCCATGCATTTCCCTGCTGCATCAGCTGGCAAAGCCTGGCCCCATCTGGCCTTGTCTTTGGCAGTGGGGGGGACCCACAGCAGCAGGCACATGGCCCAGCTCTTCTGCAGGAGGAGATGCCCCCCAAGGAGTTCTAAGCTGGCTGACACAGCTCAGACCCAAGTTTGGGACCCGAGAGACCTGGGTGGCCTCAGGGAGGGAGATGCAGGGAGGAACATCACCCTATCTAGTGATGCCCACCAGCTCCAGTAAGCCCAGGGTGTTGACACCTTGGAGAGCAAGCAGACTGCACTGCGCTGCTCATTCCTGTGCTCACAGGAAGGCTCCACCAGCTACCTCCAGCACATGTGGCACCCCAAGCCTGGAAGCAGACCCTGAGGCCCGTGTTCACCACCACCAGGGACTCAGTCACCAGCAGGGGCTCAGTGCAGGAGGGAGAGATCCTCTGCACCCTCAAAGGGCTCCTGTTGCTGCTCAGCTTCTCTTAGCTCACCTCCCCCCGACTCCAAGGACACAGCTGAGCCCCAACATAGAGATGCACCAGGTCAGCAGAGGGGTTTCATGGTGTTTATTGATCAAGCATGAGCTCCTAGGCAATTGCACTAGCCAGTTGTGCTAGAGCCTGAGGTGTCACACATCCATCCCCAGCATCAAAGAGGGCTGCAGCCAGCTGGTCACAGTGCCAGCATCTCCACGAGGCCCAGGAACAGGCCCAGCCATGGCCTGAAGATGGGGAGCTGGAAACTCAGATGTCCATCTCAAACTGGTCTTGATCTGCAAGGGTAAGGAAGGATACAGGGGCAGGGTTAGGATGGGGCTGCCTTGGGAGAAATGTGCCAGAAAAGGGAGCAGGAGCTGCGACTGGGCCTGAGCCAGGATCTCCCCTTGCCCTTGCGGCCAGACAGGAGTTCCACGCCCCATGCAGCGCATAGGCAGGGGCTGTGTGCCAGGGCTGCTCACCTGGCATGGCTTCTTCACTCTCATTCTGCTCCTTGAGCTCCTCCAGCTTGACGAGACTGGACTGGGCCAGGGATGTGACACCGGGGATCTGGGGCAGGCAGCAGGGAGGGGTCCTGGCCACGGGTGAATTCTTGCACTCCAGCAGGAACTTGCGGTCGTAGATGATGCGGGTACCTGCCAAAAGCAGGGGGCTGTCAGGCACTGCTGGCCCCTGGCCACCCCCATGTCCAAGCACCACGGCCTGAGCCCGGAGCAGAGGGTGAGACCCAGCGCTTGGCTACAGCTTAGGGACATGGGCTGGCTCTGGAGCCATTGTGGGGCTTCCCACAGGTCAGCTGTGACACCCATCCTGCCCAGTGGCTCTTCCCCACATTGTTCCTCCTGGTGAGGCTCCTGGAGCTCTGTCAGGGCACAGCGCAGGGGGTCCAGCCTCAACATGGGCGCCCCATGGCAGCTAACACCACAGCCGCCCCTGTGCTGCCTGGAAGGTAGGGCCAGCCCTGTGGCATTCCACACACAGCCCAAGCCTGATGGTCAGGCAGCAGGCAGGTCCCCAGCACACCCTGCCCAGAGGTGGCTGGCTTGCGGGTGGCTCCCTGCACCTATCAAACAGCAAAGGCTGGGTACCCCCCCATTTGGACCATGGGGAGCTGTACCCAGGGACCCGTTCCCATCGGCTCCAGCCAGCGAGCCACCTCGCAGTGCCCTGCATGAGGACAATGCGCCCAGTTTGATGGGACACCTCCTCCAGATGTACAGCCCCAGGGCAGTGCCCACCCGGGGAACATGCTGCCTCCCCCAACACTCCACAAGTGCCTGCCAGCGACCCCTGAGGTCACGCCAGCCTGCGTGCCATGTCTGCTGCCTTGCACCAGGTCCGGGCCTGCCTTCCCCTGCCCGGCTGTCCCAGCAGCCGAGCACCAGTTCCCTGCCAGGCTCCGGCAGCAAGCGCAGCCCAGGGTGGCAGAAAGCCCAGAGCTCCTGCGCAGGCTGGGCTCTTCCCAGCACCACAAACACATTATGCAACCCGTGCCTACAGCAGCCCTGCCAGCACTGGGCCTGGATCCCCAGCCCGAGATAAGCTTATCAGAGGCACAGAATAGAGCCAGCGCCCAGAGGGTGGGTGCCTGCAGCTCAACCGAAACATGCCCAGCTCAAGGACAGGGCATGCGCTATCCTGAGGACAGCAAAGAGGACCTTGCTCAGGGGGGTGGAAGGGGGACAAGAGGGCAGGCCTGGGGTGGGTACCCCTCAAGGGAGCTGTGCCACCCAGTACCTTCCCCAGGGCTGGTGAACTCAGCCAAGAGCAGACTTCTTGTGCTAGCCTCCCCCAGCTCCAGCCAGCCGTGCCTGGGCATGACCCCTGAGGGACCTGCGCTGCATCCACCATCCCAGCGGCACAGCCAGCAGCCTGCTCCCCAGCACTGCAAGCACTGGGCACTGCCTCTGCCTGCTCCCCCCAGTAGAGTGCGGCAGTGATGGCCCTAACCTCTAGCAGTACCTTGCTACAAAGCTTTGGGGTTCCCTCTTCCACTCCAGCTCTGGGCTGCCAGGGAAGCCACCACCCCATGGGCCTGCCTGGATCTGGTGCCCAGGGCAAGTGCCCATGCCCCCAAGGACCAAGCTGCAAGGTGGAGAGCCCAGGAAGGGACCTGCTCAGGAAGGAGCTGCCTAAATTAGGCCGGGATGGGGGTGGCTGAGACCACTGTTCTGTTCAAGGGACAACCCCATCCCTGTGCTGGGTCTTACCCCCTGGTGTGGTAGAGTAGACGGTACCACCCGGCGTGGAGCTGTAGCCCTCCGGGATGGGCAAGTGGTGGCTCCCCGGGACGGGGCAGGGTGAGGGGGCCGGG